GAGGCTCTGCTCTGATGATCTCATGCTTCAAGTTGAGGTCTAAAAAAATCTCCAGCTGTGAAAGTAACATGAATGAATTCCAAACTGTACCCCATCTGTTAAGGCCCCACGCCTGGAGAAGCTGATGTCACCTTGGCATGTGATACTCAATTTCTACAATAAATTATGAACCTGGAGGAAAAAGTATTTATAGGATAAAAAGTATTCCCCATCCTACAAGATAAAACTCACAGTGTCTGGCAACCAATCAAAAGTTATGAGGATGCAAAGAAATAGAAAATATAACCAATAAGGGAAGGAAAATCAATCCACACTGGCCCGAAATGGATGCACAGGATGTAATTAACAGACAAGGACATTTAAAGAATGGCCGTGGCGGTACCGCGTGCACACACCTTAAAGAAGCCAGAGGAATGGCTGAACACGTTAAGTTCAACCTGATGTAGGGTCCAGCCATTCCCTTCCTGGACACTTACCAAAGAGAAATGAGAGCACTTGTCCACTGGAAGTTCTGCATGAACGTTTCTAGAAGGTTTATTTATAATAGCCCAGAAGTGAGAACACCCCAAACGTCTGTCCACCAGTAAGTGAACGGGCAGTGGCGATCCGTGCAGTGGGGTGCTGCTCAGCAGCAGAGAGAAGTGAGCTGCGGACACGCGCAACAGCCGGGACGAACCTCGGAATAATCGCACCTAGTGCAAGAAGCCGCACGCAAAGAATTTCCTTTATGTTTCCATTAATACAAAATTCTAGAAAATGCAAACCATAGCAACAGGAAGCAGATGGGAGGTTGCCTGGAGATGGGGGCGGGGGCGGTGGGGAAGACAGGATGGAGGGATTACAGAAAGCGGGGGAAGCTTTGTGGGGGGATTTGTATGTTTGTCATAATGGCTGCCGGGATGTTGTCACAGGTGCGTACGTGTGTGACCGTGGCAAATGTATACTTTAAGCCACAACTCCAGAGCCGGAGAGCGGACAGTGGCTGCCAGGGGTCAAGGAGGGTTGGGGGCGGAGCAGGGGTGGCTGTGGAACGGCAGGCGCAGGTCCCTGGACAGACAGAAATGCTCTGAATCTTGGCTGTGTGGATGTGGACACCCTGGCTGTGGCGTGGTACACGGTTTTGCACGACGTCACCACTGGGGAAAGGGTGTGTGGGATCTCTCTGCGTCATTTAACTGCATGTGACTCTACAATTGCCTCAAAATAAAGAGTTTAAGTTAACAAAACAAAAACCTCCAAACCCACAAACATAACATGACCTGGAAAGTAGGCAAAAGCCTTTGCCTAAAAGAAAAAAGGTGGAGGGGAGGTGTAATTGTTACCGCGGCTGCTAGCGCAGTCCTGGCAATGCCTGGGGTCATGCACATTGTCACAGAGACACAACGGCAGTGTGGGTAGAAAGCGATCATTGAAAAATTTTAAATTTGTGTCTCTTTCCCAACCCACAATGCCTGAAGCAAACTATAATTTAGCATATATTTTTTTATACATTCTGTACTTATCTTGAGAACAGAAAAATCTTATTACTTTTCTTTGTTAAAACATTATTTAAAGTCAACCAGTAAAATATTCTGCAACTTCTGTGATTCTCCTTTTGGAGATTTTCATGTTTTAATAAACCACAACCCTCAAAAAATAAAAGGGGGGAAAAATACAATGCTAAATGTAGAAGCCAGAATTATAAAACTTCTAGAAAAAAAATTTTAAAAAATCTTTGAGACCTTGGGAAAGGCATAGCTTTCTTAAGCAGGACCCAAAAAGTATGAGCCGAAAATAAATAAATAAAAACTGAACTTCATCAAATTAAAATTAGTTTTACAAGGACACCGGTTAAAAAATGAATGATAAGCCACAGGTTGGAAGAAAAGATTCACAAAGCATATTTTTGACAAAAGGACTTAAACCCAGAATATATCAGGAACTCTTCCACTCCAAAAAGAAAAAGGTTTTTTTTAAAATAAACAAAAGATCTGAACAAACTCTGTGCAAAATAAGATAAATGAATAACCAATAAGCACACGAAAAAAAATTGCATGTCATTCATCGTTAGGAAATGCCAATGAAAGCCACGGTGAGACACTACTGCGTGCATATCAGTGCTGCTAACATTACAAAGACTGACAATCCCACACTTTGACAAGGGTGTGGAGAAACCAGCTCTCATATATTGTTGGTGGGGCATGAAATGGTACAACCACTTTGGGAAAGAGTTTGGCGGTTTGTGTGTGTGTGTGTGTGTGTGTGTGTGTGTGTGTGTGTGTGTGTGTGTTTGTTGTTTGTTTGTTTTGAGACAGGGTCTCTCTCTCGCCCAGGCTGGAGTGCAGTGGCACCATCATAGCTCACTGTAGCCACCAATCCCTGGGCTCAAGCAATCCTCCAGCCTTAGGTTACCAAGTAGCTGGGACTATAGGCATGCATCACCAAGCCCCACTAATTTTTTAAAAATTTTTTTGGTAGAGATGGGGTCTTGCTATGTTGCCCAGGTTGATCTCGAACTCTGGGCCTCAAGCAGTCCTCCTTCCTTGGCCTCCTACAGCACTGGGATTACAGGCGTGAGCTGCCTGTGCTCCAAGTTTCTTGTAAAGTTACACATGCACTCACCAAGTATTTCCACTCCCAAGTATTATCCAAGAGAAATGAAAACTTATGTTCACACACACACAAAACTGTGGGCATGATTATTTATACTGCTTTATTCATAAAGTTAAAACTGGGTACAACTCAAATTTCCATCAACAGATGGGTAGATGAATAACCGTGGTATAGCCAAACACTGGAACAGTTCCTAGCAAAAGAAAAGAATTTATCTTCTTATACACACAACATAAATGAATCTCAAAATCCTTATGCCAAGAAAAAGAAGCCAGACACTAATGAAGATAAACCATGTGATTCCACTTGTGTGAAATTCATCTACAGTAACAGAAGCAGATCAGTATTTGCCCAGGGCTAAAAGTGGGGAGAGGAAGCAGAAGAGAAGCTTTTGGGGTGAATAAATCATAATATATCTTGATCATGGAGGTGATGACGCAGGCAACTTTCGTCAAAGCACGTCTGCAGGTCGTGGAAGTGGGCGCAGGTCGTGGAGGTGGGTGCAGGTCGTGGAGGTGGGCGCAGGTCGTGGAGGTGTGTGCAGCTGTTCTATGCAAACCACCCTCCGTACGATTCATTTTCAGAAAGAACAGGGACTGTAAATCTGTATCTCGCGCAGCCTTCCTAATAACGTCGAATCCGTTGGCCCAATTTCTTCTTGTCAAACCCAGTTGGAGCCTCACTGATTTTTCTGGCTGTCTTCCTGACTATGTCGCTGGTGAAGAGCTCGTCCCGGGCACAGAAGTGTCTCCGTTTCTCGTTGCCAGACCCTGCTGGCATCATGAGTAACATCTTCCACCCACGGTCTTCTCCTCAGGACTCTTCAGAGCCCACTTGGTGAGCGGGATGGTTCCCATAGCCGGGATGCAGCGACCCACAAACCCCTCACTGGCCTGCGTGGGCGGCGACGCTGCGCAGCCCACCGAGAGCAGCCCACGGCGGGGTCCCTCTCTGTGCTCTCTGCGTGGGGGCTCCCCGGGGACTGCAGGTGAAGCGTGACTGTCTGACACAGAGACCAAGGGAGGGGGCCCATCTCCATCTCTGTTGGTAAATATTCATTTGTTTTATTTTAAATGGAAAACAGTTATAATAACATTTTATGTAACGATTTCAGATACAATAATCTAACACGTGCTTCCCACACCCGCTCTGCAGAGCTCAGCCTTGAAAGCTGGAGAAATGGGGAGACCAGGGGTGGGGGTGGCCATGCCGTGGCAGGGGGAGCTCTGCTGTCCAGCCCCACCACCGCCCCGCCTCCCGTGTTTCCTTACCCTAAATCGAACTTGATTTGTTTAGAGATATTCAAGGTACTCACTGAGGTCACAACGACACTCGGAGGTGTCCCCAGCCGGCCTGGCGGGGGACAGTGAGCATCCAAGACGTCAGAGCCTTGCGGTTTTGCACGGCTGCCGCTCCTCCGGGCATCCCCACCTTCGGCATCTCATCACCCACTTTCTCACTTAACGTGGACAACAGCCGTGGGAGGCAGGTGGGGAAACGATTTCCACTTACAGATGAGCCCACTGAGTCAGGAAGGAGCCAGGTGAGCCGGGAGGGACGAGTGATGTTCTCGCTGATTCTCCTATCTGTGTCTCGCTCTCTCCAGGGAAGCACACACGGCCCCACAGCCACACCTGGTACTACATCCCTGGCCTGGACCGACGCAATCCGGGCCTCCAGCTCCTGTCTCCTTGCGGCTTCGCGCCTGGATCCGCCTGCTCCGTGCTGAAGAAGCGGCTGGCAGAAGCTTCCTCCTCCGTTTCGCCCCCGGCGCACCCACAGCAAGCGGGCGGGGGCCGCCGCGGGGGTGGGAGTAGGCAGACATCTGCATCCTTGACAGGGCGCGTGCACTCCGGGCTTGTCCAGCTTCCTGTTCCAGCACGGCTCTGTCCTTGCAGCCAGAGGGTCTGGAGTTGGGGAAGAACAGAAAATCCTGTAGGGAATCACGACCTTTAAGCAGAAAAGCCCACATTTTCCTGGAAACACCTTGGCTCAGCCCGTTCTTGCGGGAGGCCTGTGATGAGCATTCGGCCCCGACGTGACCCAAGGATGACGCTGGACCCATCACCACAGCCCCCAGAAACCGGGAGAGGCTTTGGAGAGGGCGGAGGCGCCCAGCACACGGCTGCTTCGTCTCATCAGCTCCGTTTTGTGTGTTGGACAAGGGCCAGCTCTGGACGGGAATTCTTGTACCTCCCGCTTCCCATTGTGTGACGCGGGGACACAGCAGAAAGGTCCCCGGAGATGGCTGTGTGTGCACGTGTTCGGGCTGATTCCCAAGGACCAGGACTGCCAAGAGTTGACAAAGCCAGGGGGCCTCCGAGCGGGAGGGAGCGGCTTCTTCTGCCGGCAGAAGCGCCCAGCGCCCTCCCCATAGCCGCCCGGCCGCTGAGCCTCCTCGGCGACAATGCAGAGCTAATCCATCACTTCCAACCTGGAGACACAGACAGGACTGTCACCACCCTCCCCCAACTCAGGGTGTAGTTTAACTTTCTTGTGTTTTCTAATGTCACATTCAGAAAGAGGAAAAAAGTCCCCATACAGTTGTTTCTGTTTGTCTCCATTTCTGCCGTAGAAAAATATCCCTGAGGATGAAGCTTGTCAGGGAAGATGCTGGAAAACAGCCTGGCCCCAGCCACGTGCACAGGCTCTGAGGGCAAGGTAGCAGGGACTCGGGGCAGGGTGGCCATGGGCTTCCTTGACCTGGAGCCAGGGCTGGCCGTGGCCCCAGCCCCAGCTGTCTGGCTGCGGGAACACCCAGCCCACCCAGCCCTGAGGCTGCCTCCCGAGAACAGACCCTGCTGGTGGCTGCCTTCCAGCTGGGCTATGATCCAACCCCTCAGCTTGGAAACACAGCAGTTCAAGGGAAGATGTGGAAGTCGAGGGTAGCGGGTTCCCTTGTGGACCCACGTCTCAACCCCCGCATCTGTGAGTGTGGCCCGATTTGGAAATGGGGCCTTTGCAGACGTGACCATGTTAAGGATGTCAGTATGAGATCATTCTGGGTCTAGGGTGGACCCTAAATCCAATGACGGGTGTCCCCATAAGAGAAAGGAGCGGGGATGCGTCCACAAGCCGAGGACGGGGGTGGCTGCCAGAGCGGGGAGGGCCACGGAACAGGTGCTCCTGCAGCGCCCAGAAGGAGCCAGCCCTACCCACAGCTTGATCTTGGATTCCAGCCTCCGGAACTGCGAGACCGCGAGTATCTGCTGTGCTCAGCCCCTCAGTCCCTGGTAACTCGTCACGGTCGCCCTCGGAAGCCACCACACGGTTCATTTGAGAAGTGAAGTCTGACCAGGAACCTGCCTTCCGGAAAGGGCTGTGCTGGCACCGCCATAGATGGAGGACACACTTCCGGGCAGTGGGCGCGACCTTTGACCACTGCATTTTGGAGAGTCTAAGGAAGTGCCCGGGCAGGTCTGCGATGCCATGAACAGGGCGTTGCTGCACCGTCTGCATTTAGGACCAGAACGGGGTGGGGGGGCACACGGCCTCCCTCCCCACCTGCACGAGCAGCAGCCTGACACCCCTGGTCATGCCAGGCCTTCTTCCAGAATCCTTCCAGAACCCTCTCCCCGCAGAGTCTCTGTAGGTCTTGGGCCAGCTGCAGCGGCCGAGGTAGGTGACCCCCAGGTGCACTGTGTGCCCAGGTCTGCTCCGGGGAGCACTGAGCCCACCCACCTCCCGCTCTGCCCAGGGCCATCCAGTCGGTACCTGCTCGCCCGGGGTCCCTCCAGTTTAGCGTTTGCCTCACGTTTTTTATTTTAATAAAGTAGTATTAGTAAGAGCTGCAGCAAAGTAAGTCCAGCTGGGCGGGGTGGACCCCATCTCTGCTCCCAGCTTCTGCCGGGGCCGGGCCTCGCGGCCTGAGAGGCACAGCAGAGCTGGTCCGAGCTCCACCCTTCAGCACAGGGTCAAGCCGAAAGACACCAGCAGCGGCCCGCCCTCTCCTGAGCCCTGCTCTGTTGGAATGTATACGCATCTCCCCGAGGCAAAAAAGTTAAAACAACCCCCCATTTAGAAGAATTGTCTCTGGATTTACTAGGTTAATTATGATAGTATGGTCTATAGAAAAGAGATAATTACAGATATCAAGATTTTCAATTTATGAACAATAAAACACAATGGTGAGAAAGGTTTCAGGCAATTTGTTGAAAAGCTAAATATAACACCACATTTTGGAAAAAAATGTATTTTTCAGAAAAATACCAGTGACACTCAATTAACCAACAAAGCCATAGTCCTGAAGGAATACTCTGTCATTAAAATGCAAGGTGACTTCTGACAAAGTCAGAACAAAGAGACACGGTGCTCTCGGAGGGACCTGACACTAGGCTCTGTGTTTAGGCAGAAGTCCCAGCAGGGGGACGTGGTCTGGGAACGTCCGTCCTCAGAACCCGCACGGACAGGGAGCAGCCCCGACCTACGTCCTTCAGTGCTCCCCCTCCGAGTGGCAGCCAGGAGCCCCCCCTCAGAAATCCGCAGGGCAGGCAGGGGACACGTCCTCACTCAACCCAAACCTTCCTCAGGACACCTGACAACCACAGAGGGATTTTCAAAGCGATCCCACCCCCAAGACCTCGCATTGCTCCACGGCCCCGTCAGCTCTTCCCAGGAGGCCGGTGCTGGGACGGGCTGGCCCTGCCGGGGCATCCCCACAGGGCTGGGGTCTCCGGGTTGTGGCCGGCCAGGGCCCGCCAGGTGCAGGGCTCCCGCCAGGTAAAAAGGCCAGACCCTTGACCGTGGTCCCACCTTGGGTCTGGCACACCCCCCTCCAGCCAGGCCCTAGGTGGTCATTCCTCCCCTGAGTCCAGCCTGCCCGGGGGGGCCTCATGCCCCCGTCCCAGCCAGGGCACCATGGCATGTCCTCTTCGGGTCTCCTGTGTCTCTTCCCCAGAGTTTCGAGCAGGTTCCTGGGCGGGGTCAGAAGGCCTCCCTTAGAAGTGCGGGCCAGAGTCGGCTGCCTCTGCAAGGCTCTGGACGCCGTGGGCGTGAGGTCAGAGGCGCCAGTGTAGTCCGAAGGGACGGCTGCTCAGCCTCGTCCCCACCCAGCCCCGGCAGCAGGAAGCTGGGCTCGGGGAGCTCTTGTTGGGGAGTCTCTAGCAGGGACCGGCGGGGTGCAGCTGCCAGGAGGAAAGCGGGTGGGAGGCACAGAACGGAGTGGGGGACTGAGCAGGCCTGGGGGCTGCGAGGGCCAACGTGGGGGGCCCAGCCCAGCCCCTGGCAGAACTGGCCTCGCTGGGCTCCCCTGCGTGTGTCTGTCCACGCCTGTGTGGGCCCGTCCTCCCTGAGCAGCAGGGCTGTCTCCACAGACCCGCCTCTGTGGACGTGATTCGAGCATCGGAGGATGCTGAGAGGATCAGGAGGAAGCGAATTTGCCGTCACGCTTGAGAGGGAGCGGCCGTCTCCGCACACGGCGCTTCCTCCTCGCAGCGCACTCAACGGCTGGCCAGAAAGTTCTTTTTAAATTAAATGCCCTTCAACTTCTCTCATCACGGCCTCCCCGTCCTTCTCGCGCAGGAGCGAGCGATCATAAATCTTTTCCACCACTTACCCACCCTCCGCTGCTGGCCATTTGTCACCCTCTCTGCGCCGTGCCGCCGACTCGGCCCTGATCGAGGAGGGATGGTGACGCATCCGATTTTTATTTCCCCAATGATTTCCAACACCTTGCTGTTGACATAAAGATCCCATTGTTGCCCTCCTCCCTGCGCCTCCCATCCAGGTGCCCGCGCGGCCAGCGAGGGAGGACCAGGCCTCCGAACGCGTCAAACAGGAAGCGCGGGACAAGCTGGTCCCCCGCGCTGTGAGGAAGTGAGCAGCACAGGGGAGCGGCTTTAAAGTCCTGAGGACAGCGACAGAATGCTTCAAAGACTCCAGTGTAAAAGGAGCATGGACTTCACTGCCCACGTATGGGAGGGGCAAAGATTTCCAGGTGCGCCACCACCGGGAGGGCCATGGAGACGGCCACGACGCAGGCCAGTGGAGCAACGGAAATCCAGGCTAACACGCGTATTCCCGTGGGCCCAGCGTGCCTTTCCTGGCAACCCGTCCCAGGCAGATCACTAGACAGCCGCGCAAAAGATAAATATTCGAATCACGGTGAAACAACCCAAACACCCGTGATTATGGAGGTGGTTATGGAAATGATGATACATTGATTATTCAGTGGAACCCTAATGCGGCCATTAATAACGACGGTATAAGCCGGCTTCCACGCACACAGTGAAGACAGAGACGACGCCTTGTGCAACATCATCTTGTTTCTACAAACCCTGTGTGTGTGCGTGTGTGTGTGTGTATGCGTACGTGTGTGTGTGCATGTGTGTGTGTATGCGTGCGTGTGTGTGTGTGTGTGTGTGTACACGCACACAAATGCCTCTTTGCTTAGAACGTGGATTCCGTGGATGGATAATGAAAAACAGGACCCTTTCTCATGAAAGGATCAGAGACCCCTCATTTTACAAGTGGGGGACCGATGTCCATGCGGTGACTCTCCTTGGAAGGGCTATTAACTGCATCAGGGTCCCTCATTCACTCTGCTGGAACCCCGTCCGCTCTCCCCAGCCGACGGCTCAGTCCCACATCACCGTGAGCCGCGTCCAGCCTCCCCAGCAGCCGTGTAAGGAGCAAACGTCCGGTGCCGCAGGCCAGAACCTCTGCGCTGCATGTCACCAGCCTCGGTAGAAACCAGTCTCTCCAGCCCCCACCTGTCAGGCAGGGCCACCCTGGGGAGCTGCCGCCTTGGCAGATAATAAAAGGACATGGCAGCAAATGCTAGAACCAAAGGTCAAATCACTTGCTTACAAGTTTTTTTAGACCTGAAGTTAAAGATCCATTTGCTTTCAGCCCAGGGAAGCTGGCGGGCTCTGTGCGCCCACCCACCTGCCCGCCGTGAAGGGCCAACGCCCTTCGTCGCCTGGGTCTGCAGGGGACGCACCAGACGTTGGCGGGAAAGGAGCAGCTTTATCTCCACCCCCACGGGCAGGGCTGGGTAATCTGTGGACCCAGGAAAAGGCAAAAAAGGCTCGTTGGCCCGAGGGTGGGGTGGACACCGCGCACCCCTGTGTTGGAGGAAGCTTCACCCAGGGACGGCACTGCCTGAACGCTGGGCTCCGGAAACCCTGCTTCCGGAGGGAGCGGTGCCACTGGGAACACACACCATCTACAGAGCACTCATTTGCACACTCCACCTTATGCATACATCTCCTACGTCATGTACTGAGCACTTACTGTATGCAGACCTATATGGGAGGACAATTCATCCCACACTATCCGGAAGGAGGACTCATCAGTCTCCACGTCCCAGAGTATCAGACAGAGGCATACAGAAGGTAAGTGACAGTGGGTGGGAGGCAGAGAGGACTGGGAGTGTGACCAGGTGGGCTGGCTCATCGCGGCCACTGAGCACAGGCCCCGCCCCACAGCCAGGGAGCTGGCAGGGCCGCACCTGCGGCCTCAAGCCCTGGGGAAATCGTCAAATGTCACGTTCGGTGCCAATACAAGCATTGTTCACACGCTGTCAGCTGTACAAACGGCCTTTGGTGGGCAAATGATTTGAGCCCTAAGACGGCTTAGGGAACAGGAAGTCAGTGTTTAACCGGGAGGGAGTCTGTCTGAGAGGGTGAAAAAGTTCTAGAGATGGTGGGTGGAGGAAGGGGACGGCTGCACAACACTGCGAATGTGCCTGATGCCACTGCACCGTGCACTTAAAACGGGTTAAGATGGCAAATTTTATGTGTATTTTACCACAATAAAATAGAAAATAAAAAAATAAAAAGATGAGTTCTCTGAGTCCCGGGTCCCGGGATTAGTGAAGTAAAATCAACTCCAGGTTCAAGTGTCCGTAAAACGCCAGCAGGACACCACCTGGCCAAGAAATATTTGAATATCCAAGATTGATCAGGGAGAACAAATGCATCTGCTGTTGAAATTTATAACAAACCAATATAACACCTCTCCCTAAAACTAAAGGAGAACAGAGCATAAAGGGCACCTTCCTACAAAATCCAAAAGATTCATTTTTATTGACGACTGTTGACGATGTTGATTGGCGCGTGTCCACGACACGAGTGTGGATTCCATAATGCTGGCAGAACGCACAGATCCACCATCATGTATTTTGCTGAATTTAAGACAATTGAGAAGTGAACATTTGTGTATGACGTCATCAGCTCCCACAATTCATCTCTTTGATAATCACTTCCCTATTGCACCTCGGGAACGACAGCAGCAGAGGGAAAGGTGAGACGTGCTCTGATGACACGTTAGACAACACCTTGAACTTGGGTTTCCAGCCTCCAGAACTGTGAGGGAAAAGTCAGCCCAAGGAAACAAACACAATGGACTGGTGTCACCCTCTGCACTTTGTAACTCCTGGAGCTTCTAAGCTTATCTGACACCCTCCTGTTTCTACTCACGGCCTCGGAGGGAGGGACAACTCGCAGAAGCTCAAACCTCCTTTGTCACCTTGGGCAGGACTCCCACGCCTTGTGAATCCGGGTGACCCCCCGAGCTTGGGGAATGATGCTGCTCTAACATGTGAGGCTTTAGACAAATGCTCTGGGCAGGACGTCCGGCCCTCCAAGCAGCGCCCTGCACATGGCCCAGGAGCGTAGCCAGGGAGACCTTCGGCTGACCGTGCTGCTGGGGTGGGCGTCCTCAACAAAGGGAACTCCCATCAGCCTGGACATAGCACAAAGAGTCCCCCTCGGATTACTGGCAGAGCTGCAGAAAGTGCTAGAAGAATTGGCTGTGCCTGCCTGTGTCCAGTCGTGCCTGAAGAACCTCCTCTGAAAATCTCGCGAATGAACCAGACGGCAGTGCAGGGTGTTTGCTCGGGGCCCGCCTCAGCACAGGCCTCTGCAAGCGGGCGTCTCGCCCCTTTGTAGCCCACCCTGGGCAGCAAAGGGAAAGGAGAGGGCCAGTGTGGCAAAGCCGCTGTCCCCTGCCCTCAGCCTGCGGGTGCCAGAGTCGGGGAGGCGCGTCCGTCAGGAGCGCTGACGGTCAGAGCCGGTGGCCTTGCAGATGGAGTGCAAATCACTGGGCCAGGGAACATTCCAGCGCCAGCTCATTCCGAAGGGGCAGCAGTGCCATCATCCGCTAATCGGGGTTGCTTTAAGCACGACCGTCTCCCATAAGCTCTGCTGATGGCCTTCCCATTATTGCTTTTCAGAGGAAAGATTTAGGATAGCAGAAAATACTATGAAAAAAGGACATTAGGCTTAGATTGACCATAACAAAATTATTATAAGAACCGAGCTATCTAGTTCATACTGTATCATTAACTACACATCCTCCCAATGTGCTACGCAGTAGACCAGCAAAGCGAGGTTTGCTGTAGACTTCAATCTTAGTGAGCAATAAACTCAGTGTTTTGCATAAATAGATTGCGCAAACCCCGTTTATTGTGATTTCCACGTAGACAGGGTGCAAAGGAGTGTCGGCAGAGGAGTCCTTCTTCCCAGGGAGGGCAGAGCCACAGAAACAGAGGTAAATCCTGCCAGTCTGAGGCAGTGCAGGTGGGGCCAGGTGAGCAAAAGGCGGCACAGTGGAATTTTACAGGGTGAAGGGCGGTGCCCCCTTTGTGTTTCCATCACATGTTGGGATTCCCTAGCCTACTTTTCAATCCGCCCCAGAGATCTCTGAGGTTGCAAGTGTGGCATCCTAACCAAGAACACTTCCTGGAGCACCCGGCAGTGCTTTAGCCAGCGTGGAGGTCTCCAACCCAGGTGCCGCATGGAGAGGAGCCGGGCCTGAGCCTCCCTCCCTCCCTCCGGCCAGCCCCTTCTGTAGGTCATCCCCTGCAGCCCCAGAGGTCACACCTGGGCCAGGGGCATCTGTCGTCATCTCTCAGCACCTGCGGGTACAGTTGCCAAGCACACTGCTGCGGTTATTTACACAGTAAGAGGACAGGCTTCCTGCAGTTGCTGTGACAAATTACCGCTAACTTGGTAACAGACAGAAACACAGACTTGGCCCCTTACGATTCTTGAGACGGGAAGGGCTGTCCACCTCCTGGAGGCTCCAGGGGGAAATCCGTGGCCTCTTCGAGCACCTGGAGGCCGCCAGCATTCCCTGGCTCTCGGCCCCTTTCCGACCTCCAACCTCTGCCTGCCGCCAGACGCGGACCCTCCTGCCTGCCTCTCACGGGGGCCCTTCTGACTACATTAGACCCACCCAGATAACCCCAGATGATACCCCCACCTCGAGGTCCTCAATTTAATCACGTCGGCAAAGTTCTTTTGGCCACATAAGGTGACATAAGCACAGGTTTGGGGGATCAGGACATGAACATCTTTAGGAGGCATTATTGTGTCTCTTACAGGAAATTCTGGTTTTCTCTGTAATTCTGCAATACAGGATGGTTTATGCGTGTTTATCAGAACACAACCTTTTATTCAAAATGTATCGGCTGTGAGCACAAAAGTAAGCCTGTGGCCGGGGGAAGAGGGCATGGGAGGGGCAGACAAAATATGGAGAATGTCCTCCCCCCAGGCCACCCCAGTCCTGGGATGCTTAGGGCCTCGCGGCACAGAGACGTGGCACAGGCAGGCGGAGAATGCCTGGCCCACCCCTTGGCTCTCACCTGGAAACCCCATGCATATTTACGAGGGTTGCGCCACGAGCAGCCTCAGCTTTCAGAAAACTTAATTTCATTTTAGAACCACAGACACGCTGCCCTCCTAGGCCTGAGACCATCACACACATTTTTCTAACAACCACCTGTCATCTCTCTGCACTGCGGGTTCCTCTGAAACTAAAACAGCCCCCCTCGACCTCACGCCTCTTCTCGGTGGTCTCCTGGCTTTCTGCTGACCGCTCCTGGATGGGGGGGCCCCCAGATCAGCCCAGCTGGCAGGACAGTCCCACCTGGGGGACTTTGGGGACCGCAAAGGTGAACAGGAGGAGTTCCACTTGCAGTGAGACACAGCAGGCCCCTTAGGAGAAGAATATAGAGATCTTGGAGACAGGTGCTCTGACATTGGGACACCATTTTAAGATTCTCAGGCAAAGAGACTGGCCAAGCGCCTCCTCCCTACCTAGCGGGGAGTACCACAGGGGCAGGTATATTATAAGGGCTCTGTTGGTTGCAAGAAACAGAAAATCCAACTCCAACTGGCTTGAGCAAAAGAAAATGTGCCGCTTCACACACCAAATAACTTAGGAGTCAACAGGCTTCAGGCACAGCTGGACCCAGGAGCTCAGACGTCATCAGGAACTGTTTTATTCCCCATCTCAGCCCAGGGCCCACCTGCACTTGTGCAACCCTGAGAGTGATACCTCCTTAAATTTTTCATCCCAGGTACCTCACTGGCCTCACTGTAGTCCAGCCCTGGTGTTATGTCATTCCCAGGCAGGCTCTTCTCCTCATGATGACAAAATGCCTGCAGTGCTCCAGCCCTCTGTACTTACAGATTGGTGTCCCCTTCCCCAATAGTTCAAACAGTGTCAGAATTTAGTCTCCTTGGCCGACTGTCACATGCCACTCTGGGGGCCTGGAGGCCCAGCTACAAGGAAAGATCAGGGGTTGAGGGTTGGGAAAGAGTCATTCTCCCAAAGAGAAGTTGTGAACTGGATTCAGGGCAGCAAAAGCCACAAATGTCCTCCTTGGCCAGGAACTCACCATAGTGCAAGGTGACATTTGATTGCTCACAGAGGAGAGGTAGACCTTAGAGTGTGGACATTGGCCTCTTTCTGACCCAAACTGCAGAGAGTGATTAGTTCCTGGTTCTGAAAAAGTTCATCACTCTTGAATTCCACCTTCCATGAAGCCTTAGAGCGTCCGCGCAACTCCGCCAAGCCCTCTGCAAATGCATAAGCAGGGTGGCCTTCGCTCCAGTTCCTCATACCTTGTCCTCATGTCCGTCCGAGACCCCATCGAAATGGGCTTCACTGCCCACATTCCCACCAGCGCTCTGGTAGAAAAAGCAACCTCTAAGCAGTCCCAGGCTCTCCCTAGTCTTCTCTCCTCCCGATATGGTACCAGACGCCCCCCGACGCCTCACTGACGGCCACACCGGCTGTCTTCAGCACTCGCTTTCAAACGTTCCAGCCTCCACCCATTGCCCGGCCCCAGAGCTGCTTCCACGAGTTCGGGCACTTGTCATAGCAACAGCCCCGCTTCCCAGCACCAGTTTTCTGCATTGGCCTGTTTTAAGTTGCAATAGAAGAACCCCCCCTCCCCCGCCCCACTGGGTAGTTTACACGGAAAGGAAATTTATTTAGTTCGTGGCTCCAGAGGCGGGGAAGTGCGAGGGCGCGGTGCCGGCGTGTGGGGAGGCTTCGTGCTGGGTCATCCCCTGGCGCAAGGCAGGGCCGACCTCGCTTTTATGACAGCCCGCACTTGGGAGAACAAACTTACTCCCTCAGCAACAACATTAACCCTCCCACGAGGGCAGAGCCCGCCCGAATTCATCCCCTCTCAAACGTCCCACCTCTCACACTGCTGCACGGAAGACTGAGTTTCCAACACGCGAACTGCGGGAGACCCATTCAAACCAGCACACACGGTCTCTACCGAAAACCTGCGTTCTCTACTGTTTGCTAAAATGGACACGTAAGACTTAGCACCCGGCTAGGCCCGTATGTTACCATGGTGCACACGTATGGGCATTTCTCTAGTCTGTGCCCATGGTGGGAGATTATCTGGTGTCTACCACGGCCAGCTTCCCAAATGGAGGTGACAACTCACACTCACCTTGCCCTTGATTCCACGCCCTTTGACCCTAGAGCTGCAGCCTGACTCCCATGACTGGCCTTAAACGGTGAGGCATTTCCGGGAATTTGAAACACGCCTCGGACGCAGACAAGTGAGGCCCTGATTGACTGACTTCCTGCACACTGAGGAGTTCCACCACAGTGTGAGGGACACACACAAGTTATATATGTGTGTCCGTGAGAGCAGAAACTACACGTGGTCTCAAAAGACCCATCTTTTTCCCAGCGAGCCGGGGCACGACAGCATGGGACTGACCGGCTTTCCAACCCAGCGCACCGATCCTCATTTTTCTTTGCTGTTTCTGGGCATCCGTGAAGTTCACACCCACCTGAAGGCATGAAAGAAATCATCCCAGGGTGGGCGCAGACCCTCCGGGCCTGGCGGGAGGGGCAGCCTCAGAGATCTCTGACATGCTCTGGGCCTCGTCCTGCCGTCCGCCGTTAGCCCCCGGGCCCTTCCATCCACGCCATCCCTCCAGCAGCCTGTGCCCTCAGCCACGCTCTGGGACTCCTCTCTTGAAAACGCACTTTCCTTCTCTAACATGCTGCCAGGCTGTGGATTTTCCAAATTGTTAGCTCTGCTTCCCTTTCAACCACAAGTTCCGCCCTTAGGGAGCTCGTTTCCTGCGCGTCTGGCAGGAGGCTGTTAGGAGCAGCCACGCCAGTCCTCGAAGGCTTTGCCACTTACAGATTTCTTCCACCAGGTACCCTAGGTCATCGCGCTTAAGTTCGGCCTTCCACACAGCGCTGGGGCACAGACCCAATGGGCTCCTCATCTCCATCTGAGACCTCGGCGGCCTTCCCCGTCCAGATGTCTAGCAGCATTTTGTCACAACTTAACCCATCTCCGGGAAGCTCCAAATTTCCCTCATCTTCCTGTCTCCTCCTGAGCCCCTCAGCGTCCCCCAGCCTCCGCCTGCTGCCTGCCTCCACCTTCTCAGGTGTCTTCATAGCAACAGCCACTCCTCGGTACCAACTCTGTCCCAGTCCACTTGTGTGGCTCTAAAAGAACTCCTGAGGCAGCGTGATTTATAAAGAAAAGAGAACTACTTGGCTCACAGTCCTGCAGGCTGTGCGAGAAGCACAGGGAGCTTCCGCTCACCCAGGAAAGGGAAGGGGAGCCGCGCGCAGGGGCACCCGGGAGAGGATGCAGGAGGGCGGGGGGGAGAAGCCAGGTGCTTCTGAACAGTCGGCTCCGGCTGGTGCTAACAGAGCGAGAGCTCGCCATGGTGGGGGTGTCGGCGCTGGCCTCCCCTCTGCCGCTCCTCCACCTGCACATCTCACCCCAGCGCTTCCTCCTGGCTGCAGAGGAAGACCCTCGGTGACAGTGGAAGGCCCGCGGGCCACACAGGGAGCACTGCCGATGCTTCACGTCCCACCAGCTCCTCTACGGTGGGAAGGGACAGACAAGGGCCACCTGCTGCCCCAGCCTCACCTTCCTCAGGCAGCTGCTGCCTGCTGCTGTCCAGGGCACAATCTCCCCGGCCAGCCCCTCTGGACTCTGGGAGCAGAAAGGAGCCTGGTCCACACCTCCCAGCTTCCCCCAGTCCTCAGAGCAGCCGACCTGGATCCAGTCATTTGCTGCCTCACCACGTCTCACTGCTCTGCCCCTCCATGCCCACCAGCCACCGTCACGCCCCAGGCCTCTGCACTGGCCATTCCCTCCCCTTGGACGTCTGTCACCCCACACCCCCAAGGTGCTGTGGTACAGAGGTTCATGGATTGTTGGTGCTCGGGAATTTTAGCTGGGCATCATGGTGCACACCTGTAGTCCCAGCTACTGGGGAGGCTGAGGCATGAGAATCCCTTGAGCCCAAGAGTTCCAGGCTGCAGTGAGCTAGATAATGCCACTGCACTCCAGGCTGGGTGACAGAGTAGACACCATTTTTTAAAAAAAAGACCAATATTCATAAATTTGGTTTCATTGAAGTCAGCCCTGGGGCAAATATCTACACCAGAGAAAGCTGCCAACACTACAGTCTGGCCTGTATCTGGAGGATCAGGCACCAGCGGCCGCTCTACAGGTCTGTCCCCGCCATGCCCCGCAACGGACCACTCTGTCTATTCTCTTGCTTGGTGCCTGGGACTCCCGAGGACAAACACTGGCTGCTCTGGTCTCCACTGTGGTGCTCCCAGACACACCATGGACATCGATGGAAGACTCGACCTTGGTCTCACCTGGGCTCCTCCTGACTACGGAGCAGACGCAGGAGGGCAGCAGGACCGCGATGCTGACCTTAGCACCACCAGGGCTGGCACTGGTTGTGGCAGGTCAGAGGGAGGAGGCCTGGGGATGGCCCTGTGGTTTGGGCCTGGTGCTGCCAGGGAGGATGTAGAAGTGGGAGAAGAAGTGGCTTCAAGGGACTCACATGGGATTCCTAGAGAGTCTTGTGCTGACCCACATGGAAACACACAGGCATGAGGGGCTGAGGGCTGAGATCCCACCCCTGCAGCCTGGCCCAGGCAGGGGATCTCAGGCAGGCCTCAACCGTACTTCTGTACACAAGAAATGAACCATGAAAAATGGAATTAAAGAAATAATTCTAATTACAATAGAACCAAAAACAAAATACTCGGGAATAACTTTAACAACAGAAGTACAACCTTGGAACAGTGAAAACTAAAATGCATGTCAAGTGTTGGAAACACCCAGGTATCATCCCGGAGCCTCCTCCCCTCGGCTCTGGGGCCTTTCCCTCGATGGGGAGGGTGGGGGACGGATGGCATTATTGGCCTTTACATTATTAGAGGCGGGCTCAGGGTGAGGTCTACACAACCAAATGCATATTACTGTCTCCATTTTTATGGATAGAAGATTGAAGCACACAAAGAGAGGGAATGGCCGTCCATGTCCTACAAGGTCCAATATCTGGCACTGATTCTCCCCACCCAGCCCCTGCCAATCATTCTGTATTTAAAGGATCCCCAGATGTCACACCAGTAAGTGTTTAAGAGAGGACTGGGCTCCAAGGGTATAAGAAAGGAAGGCTAGAGATTCCACAGTCTGAGGCAACGGGGTTCTGGGAGAGTCAAGACTCAATTCCCAAGATCTGCAGAATAGAGTCATTGAGGGGCAATTGTAGGATCAGAGAGAAAGATACAGGATTTGAACAAGGCAGGGAAAACGTTAGGAAAAGACAAAACCAGGGACAGGTTTGGGCAAGAGTCAAGCCTCTCTACACACCCCCACCCAACCACCCCAAAACCTTATCCCCCTTTCACCCGCCCCCTTTCCACCGCTCAAGCCATCAACCCTGATCACTCCAGCCGGCATTTCCCTGTTTAAAGAGGAATTTCGTTGGTAGCCGGAGCTCTGAGAAAGCGCTGTGCAGAACTCCTTGCCTGGTATGTGGCAAAAACCGGACAGAAAGGCAAAGTTCAGGTCCATGTCACAAAAATCAATATATTATGTACAGATCTGATGGATGGATGGATGGAACTTGGGAGATTCGGGGCAAGTAATTGCCAGCTGCGGGAAGTGTGAACTGGCACGAGGATTACAGGTGCACCTGCCCTAGGCGGCTGCTGCTCTAGTCAAGCAGGTGCGCGAGCGCTTTCTCCTCCGACTGTGTAACAGAACCCACTGAAGACCCACGAATCAGCTTAGCGAGAATAAACATCCTTTAATGGAAGAGACTTCCATTGTAATTTCTCATTAATTTGTTAACAAACTTGAAATAAACACATTTTACATGCTTTAGAATGTATCTATAAAGAGTGCCTGTTCTATAACTGCATTACCTGTACCAGATTTTTTAAAGTAAGGCGACTTATCACCGACTAATTGGCCCACATTCGAGTTCCCCACGGTTCCCACAGTGTTCCCGGCAGTCAAACCTGGCTTTAATGGAGAACCGGATTCCCCGTCTCCGTCACGCGGATGGAGATCGGCCCGGAGCCCGCTGGTGCTGGTCTCCTTGGTAACCCGATCGCCCCTGGGTCCGGCGGGGGCCGCAAAGCCTTCTGGGAAGTGTGGTCTCTCCTCCAAGGCGCGCGTAGCCCAGGGCCAGGGGCGGGGCTTCCGGGTTCCCTCTGCGCACGCGCAGCCCCGCCCACGCCTGCCGTCTTCCGCCCTGGGTTCCGGTTCTGCGGTGCTCGCGCTGCTGTCCTCGGGTGTGGGCCTGGGTCTGTGTCCCTGAAGGTTGGTGCCGGGTGAACGAGGGGCCCGGGGGTCGGCCTGGCTGTCCCCTGACTCGGTGAGAGCAGAGACAAGACAGCTCTCAGGCGGGCCGCGGCCTGGGCCGGTCCGGGAGGGCGGCTCGGGCCGCGCTGGCCGCAGTCGGAAGACGCTGGCTGCCCGGAGGGCCGGAGTGGATTTCAGGAACAGCTGGTTCCAGAAGCTCCGCGAGCGGGTGCTGGAGTCCGAGGTGACGCGGGCGGAGCGGTGTCTGCGGGCAGCGTGAGCAGAGTGAGAAACCTGTGGCCTTCTATTTTCCAGATTGTTCTCTTTTAAGCACCAAAGGAGACAAGAAAGCTTCATCTTTCTCTGCTGCACCCATTCAAAAGCCCACACTTCATGTTTCAAACCAAGGTACTACCTAGGATCTCTAATAACTTTTTCAATTTCCAGGTCTCTGCTGCGTAACAAACTACCACAAAACTTACTGCTTTAACCCAAGAATTTGTTCTTATTTTTTTTGTTCTTATTTGTTCTTATGTCAGAAGTTTATGGGTCAGCAAACTGAATGAGGCAGTGTGGCTTGGCTGCTTCTTGATGCCTCTGATCTGCTTCATGGTGTCGCATCTCAGCTAGGACACTTGTGTCTGGGGACATTGAACAGGCATCCAGCCCCCTCCTTGCGGCCAGCATGGATATCCTCCTAGTCTGGTAGTCTCACGGTGGTCAGGTTCATCTGACTTCTCCCAGAGCAGGTGTCCAGGAGGCCCAGGCAGAAGCTGTGAGATCTCAGGATCTCCCCTCAAGAGTTCCCAGAGCATCTCTTCTACCACATTCTCTGAGTCAAGCTCATCACTAAGAGCAGCCCCAACTCAGCTGGAGGGCAGCTAGATTCTACCTCTCGGGAAAAGAGATGGTAGGTATTTACAGCAATCTTTAATAAACCAGTTTGCCCTCTGGCCACAAATATTTTGCATTTCTCCAATGTGCAAAATATACCATGCCCCTCTCAAGAACTCCAGAAATCTTTTCCTATTACAGCATGGCTGAAAGCCCAACCAGATTAGGTCCTGGTGGCCAGTCATCTGCCCCTCCACTCACAGCACACAGCAAGGAGACCAGCAGGAATACGGGGGGTGCTCCCCTCCAGATGGGTGGTGGGTTGCAGGAGGCACCCTGCAGGCACTGGTGGGAGCAGTAACTTGTCCCAGAGGGCACCTGCTCCAGTTCTTTGACGGGTTGCTTCCGTCTCTTGGCTGTGAGCATGGGTGTACAGATACCTCCTCGAGATCCTGCTATGATTATTCCGGGTATACATCAATCCGTCAGTGTGCTCAAGTCCTGCAGGCAGCCTCATGGAACCCACATGTACAGTCAGCCTTTGGTTTACACGGGTTTCACTTCCCACAATTCTTTATTCTCACTTGTTTAGAAAAAGTCCACATACAAATGGATCATCAGTTCAAACCTGTGTCGTTCAAGGATCAACTGTATGTATAGAAGTCAGATTGCTGGATCAAATGGTAATTCTATTTTTAATATTTTGAGGAACCCCTCCACTGTTTTCCATAGCTGTATTACATTTTACAAAATCACATACAGTTCATTTTCACCAACAGTGTAGAGGGTTCCCATGGTGAAAGACTGAACAACTCGGTGTTGGGTTTATTCATTTTTTTCTATTTTCTATATTTTGTTTGTCTCTAATCTCTTATTTTCTTCCCTTGTTTTTGGTTTCTCATTAGTTCTTTTTTTTTTTTAGTTCCCTAAGGTGTGAAGTTAGGTTATTGATTTGAGATCTGTCCTTTTTAAGGTAAGCATCTACAGCTGTCAGTTTCCCCCTTGGCACCACTTTGCTGCATCCCATGAGTTTTGGAATGTTGTATTTTCATTTTTGTTCGTGTCCAGATATTTTTTGTCCCAGTGGAGTATAATTTTATTGTTTCCAATAAAAGTGATTAATTAAACACATAATGAATTGTGGTTCAATTGTTATAATATTATAAAACATCTTACACTCCCAAGTTTAAACTCCAGAAAAAATTTCCAGAGATACATGTATTTTGGTTTAGGAAATATGGCCACCTCAATGTATTCACACAGCAACCTAGACTTGAAGATAAAGGCTAATAATAAAATTAACATATACTGATAAATTAGCAAATATGTATTCATTGTTAATTCTTAATTATATAATTTTAAAAATTGAGGTACTGGCATACAAAAGTGCATATTTAATGTGTACGTCTTGATGAATATGAAGATAAGTATTCACCCATGGAACCATCACCACAAACAATGCCATAAACATAACCATCACAATCAACAGTTTCCACCCTTCCCCCTTTTCATAAGGATAAGACCATTTATATGCCAAAAGACACACCATTTTACAAATTTTTAAATATACTGTACAGTACAGTCGTACTTGAGAGAGATCGTGGGTTCAGTTCCAGGCAAAAGCAGTAAAGCGAATCACATGAATTTTGTTATTTCCCAGTGAATGTAAAAGTGTGTTTACACTATACTGCAGTCTACTAAGTGTGCACTAGCATTATGTCTATAATAACAAGGTACCATACATTAGTTAAAAAATACTTCAATGCTAAAAATTGGTAACAGTCGTCTGAGCCTTTAGTGAGTTGTAATCTTTTCCTGGTGGAGGGACTGCCCTCCACACTGAGGGCTACCGACTGATCAAGGTGGTGTTTGCTGAGGGCTAGAATAGCTGCAGCAATGTCAAAATAAGACAGCAATGAAGTTTACTGTATCGACTGACTCTTTCACAAGATTTCTGTGTACCATGAGATGCTGTTTGATGGCATTTTACCCACAGCAGAACTTCTTTCAAAATTGGAGTCCTTCTCAAGCCCTGCTTGCTGCTTCATGAGCTGAGTTTATGTAATATTCTAAATCCTTTGTTGTCATTTTTTTTTCTTTTTTTTTGAGACAGAGTCTCACTGT